TTTAATGGGAAAACATATTGCAAATATAAGACATTATGGTTCTACAGAGCCTTGAAGGACATAATGGATCTAAACTTAAATTTGAAGCAATTCCTAAGGCTAAATAAAAACAAAAAATCTATAAAAAAACTACTAAAAATTAAATCGAATTACCTAAACCTCCCATAATTTATTTTCTGTATTTTTCAGGTTATTTAATTTCTTCATCTCTAAATTTTACCTCTTGATTTTTGTCTTTCACCTATTCTGTGAATTACTTACTTCACTGACTTCAGCTTTTATTTATCTTATTTTCTGAAAAAACTGCATGGTTAACATTATCAATAGCTCTGTTATAATTCACAAATGTAAAGCAGAAGGGGTTTTGTACTTAGTTTTTCTGCATGATTATTTTTCTAAATTAATTTTGGATCCAGTATTTTCTTTTCTTGGCCTGTATATACTTATGTATTTTTGGTGTGGGTGTTATGCTTTTTCCATGCTATAGGATGTGATGGCTATAGCTCAATAAGTCTTAATTTTCTTGTGGTCTTAGTTTTTGGGTAGTTACTTAGGTAGGATTTTTGATTTCATCCCACTGCAGTAGTTCCGCTCTCCCATATTTCTATTAAATGAGGGCAAATAGGTAGCGATATTGTTATAGATGCTATTTATTTTTTGGTTTTTCTGCTGTGATATTATCTGGCCCTGGAGCTTTTGCTTTTTCTTAGTGTTTTTTTCATTAGTCTTTGTTCGCTTGTTACATCATTTATGGAGAAACCAGTCGACAGGGGGGTGGCGAGGTTTGTAAATATGTTTTGCTGGTAGAGTTTTCCGTGAATGATAGACTATCATATAACAATCAAGCCAAAATGCCTTTTGTTAATCCTGGCCAACAATTACTTTTCAATTTCCTAAAACTTACGGAGCTGGCTCCTATTTCTGCGTCATAGTTTCCTTTCTCTCATATCTTTATCATTATCAAAGACCTTTTTCGCTATATAATCTATCTATCACTCCATAGAGTATTTTGTTTCTCTGGAAAAAGGAAAAATAACCGTTTGTTGTGTGGTGTTCGTTTGCTGGATAGTCATAAACCGATTACTGACTAGTTTTTGCCTATTCACTGGATTTTTCACCTTTTAAACAATTTGTGGTAAACCCATTTTAGCTTTTCCTTATTTTCATGAATAAATTCTAATCTCAATTGATATGAACACATTCTCAATTATTTGTTAGTAACTATCAAGGCTTACATTAGATGTTAAACTTAAAATTGGCCACCACCCACCCTTAAAGTAATTAAATTATTTAGGCAGTTCATGGGTATAGGCTTTTGTTTTTGCCCATCTCTTTTGTTGATTAGCCTATAGACGTTTAAGCGACAGTTCTCGGACTGTTGCGCGTACAAGTACGTGCGGCTTGCCCACAAACGTGTGAAGGGCTCCTCATTTTTTTTTCCTCCCCTAAATTAACTATCCAGTTTGATGGATTTTTGAGGAAAACCTAGCGTAGCTCTGTTGTATCCACAACCAGAGGGCGAAAACGCTTTTATCACGTATCACGTAAATAGAGAAATAAATGTCATAAACATATTCTAAAAATGATAGATAGGTAGGTATCTTAGTAAAAGTTTATTTATAACTTTCATTCAATTATACGACTGCTAAATTTAGCACGATTAGGTGCAAAATATAATTTGATATTTTTATCCAAAATGAAAAATATACTATTTAATTTTGAGCACAGGCACGTCATAAATAATAAAGAAAAAACAAATTTTTTTCCGAGAATTTTTAAATTAAGTTATACAGAGTTGTTAAAAGATACTTTTTAAATGGATCTATATACAGATACATCGTCTAAAATAATATCTAGATACCGATATTTTAATCAAAAATCTATCTAGATATACAGATACGGATACCACATTTTTATATTTAGATACAGGAACAACTCTGAAGTTATATACGAAAAAACTTTCTAGTAAAAAAAATCACAACTAACTTTTTAAATGATACTTTCAAAGCCTTTAGATTATTGAAATCTTTTCACATTTGGCAGGAAACGGGGTATATTTTAACTCTGGCAAGGGAATAATTTGATAACGGATCCAAAAGCCCAAATGAATAATTGGTACTCCCATTATACTGGATTGTTTGGGAGGATATGAGAGCTCTTTAAATTGATAACTCCAAACTCTACTGTTGATCAATGTCCCTCTACCTCAAAGCTTTGATCACCAACCTCAACTTATTCCTATAATTATAATGTCACAACCTTCTTATTATTCTCATCTAGATCACTGAAGTGACTATTTTAAAATATTTTGGTGTATCACTTGATAAGAAAGGTTGAACAAAACAGAATCAGCAGGTTAAATTAAACAAATCCAGGGCAAAGTACAGGTCCTTGGTGAAAATTTGGACATCACGACAACTATCTATTCCCTTGAAGATTAGATTATTTAAAGTTCTAATAATGGCTTCCCTCTATTATGATGTGGATAAATGCCTAAGATATATTACCAGGATTTTTTTACCCAAACCATATAATTTATTGAATTTAAGCTTTAACAGCTAAAAAAAAAATTTTCTTCACTTGATCATTATCGTAATTCAAAGTTATAAATAAGTTTTTCCTATTTCCTCCTAAAATTTTCCTAATTTTCTAACAGAATCTCTAAATTTTAAGTCCTTTTTTGCGCCAGAGGTTCCAGTGCACTCTTATGGCCTTGGCGATTTAAAAAATTTTAAAATCCTATATAACCGGAAATATATTCTAGCATGTGTAGAGTATTTATCCTATAAATTTCAGCCAATTTCAACCACGGACATTTTAGTATTTTTTTTAAAAAATTTATTATGAAAAAATCCATACAAAAATTAATATGAATTAGAAGTAGTTCTAAAGTTTCACGGCAAAGTTGGCTGATATTTGTAGGTTAAATACCCTACACATGCTTAGAATCAATTTCAGGTTAAATGGGATTTTAAAATTTTTATCAACCACGGTAAAGGATTTAAGATTGAAGAGATTCAGAATCTCCACGGATTCCGAACCCCCATACGACAGGACAGCTATAATATTTTGGGGTTAATAAATGCTAAATAACTATTTCCTGGGTCAATACCGAATATCCACAACCAAATCATCGTAACTTGATGTAGTAATCTTAAATCAAGCTACTATATAGGTAATTCGATATGAGATAACGTATTAGCGTTCATTATTACCACCATCGAGGTCCTTGTCCTTTCAATCTTGAGAACCAACTTTCGTTCCCGCCCTCAACATCCAAAGGCTAATCGCCAAATACTGTCAAGAGACGACAGATGGGTTAGCTTGATTTTTTATTCGTCCAACTCCGATCAATGACGCCTGCGCACTGTATCAAAATCAAACTCATCGGATCTTTTTCATATGTGAAACCTAGTTGTTTTATAGGAAAAGCGGAGATAAATCCATTGAAACTAAGCCTATTTATTTTTATAATCAATAATGTTTTAATGTATAAAATTGAATCATTGAGCTATTATTCTAAGCAATTCTATATGAATGCTGAGAAGAGGCAAAAGAATTCGTATAAATAAAAATCCCAGTAGAAGTGTCTTGCATAAGATGGAATCAGAGTATTCCAGTTCCGAAATTATTGATAATTGAATCTTACAGTTCAAGCTATTACAGAACCTTTATTAATTGCGCTGTGATTTTATATCTTTTCGTAACTTGTACATTTGAAACTATTATTCAGGTATCTTGTTTTCTATTGGCAATTAAAATGGTGCTTTGCCTGATAGCTATCGCCTAACTAAAATTCGTCATTTCTTAGAAATTGGTTATATTGATTGGATAGTCACCTAACCCTTAGTGGGTCAGTTTTATCCAACACTAAACGAAGATTGGTGAGCTGCTGGTTGCCATCACTCAATAAAAGGTAACAGATTGAGCTCGCGATAAAGTTTAAATGATATATTTTTATTTACCAGCTGATTTGTTGACAAAATCTAATAAAAAATATTTATTAGATTTCGATTTTATTTTATTTTTTTTTGTTATATAATTTTATCCCATATGGATGTTTCTAATAAAAAAATTTAAGCTATTTTTTTTTAAATACAGAATTTTTAGAAAAAAATGTTAGCCAGACGGGTTTGCAATATTGTTCTATAAAATCATAATTTTCTTTAAAAAAAATTAATATTATTTTAATAAATTTTTAATCCTTTCTTTCTTTCTATCTTTCTTTCTTTATTTATTTAGGATTAGGAATAATAACCAAACGTTACGCCTCTGAAGCTTAGGTTGAAAAGAAAAATGTGAGTAAACCTGGGGAAGGAAGTGAATAGTGAATTGTCGGGACAGCGCATGCTCAGAGGAGGGGGGGGGGCAAAAGAAAATTGATTGGTAGAAAGATTATCGACCCAACAGGAACCTAGGAGATATTTTTAAAGTTTTTCTTTTTTTTAAAAAACAGTTTAAAGTCTTCGATAAATTCAAATTCGAAACGCTCGGACCCCGGGTTTAAGAATTATCAACTCTATTTAGCGAAATATTTTGATATCGGAAACTTAATCGAAACCGATTTTCTAAGAGAGGTTCGAACCCGACCAGGGTCTATTTTACCTCGGGCGGTCTGCAATCTCAAAAATGCCCAATCAAAACATCCCCTGCTTCAAGAGTACATATTCCTAATAAAATATCATTCGCCACCCCCCCCCCATTTCCTCCTCACACAAGTCCTAAAAGAGAGAATTTTTCTAAAGAGAATTTAAAAAAAAATATATATCTAATAAATTGTAAAAATTATTTATTTTTTAAAATAATGGGAAAATTTTACAAATGTCTTTCAAAAAAAAAAAAATTTATATTTAAAAAAATCTGTTTTATTCAACTTTTTTTGTTTGTTTTATATAATATAATGATATAAATAATAATTGTAAATTATAATTTATATCCTATTCTATTTTCTCTTTCATTCCTCATTCCATAACATGATTAATAATCCCTCATTTTTCTTGAAAAACCTTTTTGAGAAAAAAAATAATTCTTTTTTTGAAAAAAAAAAACAAAAAAAAACTTAGGTTGTTTTATAATAAATGCTATTATTTGTTAGAAATTCGGTGACCGTTGTAATATTGAGCTTGTTGTTCTTCCGGATTAATCGGTGTCGATGCTTCCACACTCCGATAGGAATGACGCCGGATAATTATTCGTCCGATGCCACGAAAGCGGATAAATATTCGCCCGGTAACGATAAATCGAATTCTTTATTCGTTGAAGAAGGTAATTTATTAAGAGAAAGAAAAAAAATACATACTTTATATTTTATTTGCATTATCATTTTTTCTTGCTTGCACACCCTCTCAGACTTTATTAATTAAAATTAATTAGATATGCCTTTAATTTTTTTATATTTTTATTTTGACCGAGCATGCGCCAGAAAAGTTAAAATAGAGATGGCCCCCGAATAAATATGAAGCGGTATTTTATTATAAATTTTAAATTACAGTATAACTAGGTGCATATCTGGATCTAAAACATTAAGCTTATATGATTTAAGTATTTATGTATTAAATATGATTTCTAAATTTATCTGAGCATTTATTTCGTTTTAAGAATCATTTGCTCATAGGTGTTGTTCATTTAACAATCTATAGACATGTCTAGGTCTCCAGGGTTAGTGAACTGCATCGGACCTAATACTTCAAGCTCGGTACCGGCCGAAAATTTTTTTATAAAGTTTTGCCCGGCCCGAACCCGAAATGCCCGGTCAGGCCCGACCCGGCCAGGCCCGACCCGGCCAGGCCGGGCCTACTTTTGCAGATCTTCCAGGGTTGTGAAAGTGCCATTTTGCCTCCCCCCCCTTAATTATTCCTTACAAAGTCGGCGTCGTTTTTATAATTATTTTTCAAAATAAATGATTTTTATTCTTATAAGTTCTTTAAAGTTTTTCATTTTACTTTTACTTGTATTCGAGTTTATATTTTATTTATATTTAAAAATATTAATTTTTATATTAAAAAACAAACACAATTCTTTATTTTCCAACCGTTTCTTTGTTTATTCACGTAAAATTAAAAAAAAAAAAACGTTTAAAAAAAATGCTGAAAATTTAAATGCGTGAGGAATTTTTAAATTGCGGGAGTTTCCCGCTAATGAGGGCGACGGTGCAACCATTGTAAGATATTTTTCCGGTTAGGGGCAGGCCGGTCTGGCCAGTTCGTAACTGATCTCTAATGCGCATCCTGAATTTAACTCATTAATTTCACTCCTTAGAAGTTATCTAGGGGGAGGATAGATCTAGTTATACTCTGAGGAGCCAAGGTTCCTGATGGCTTCTAACACCTGTCACTGCGACGGAAAGGGACAAGCCTGAACTAGCACATAAATCTTGGGATATTTAAAATATGCCCAATTTAAGCACAATAGGTGTAGACTTAGCACGAAGAGAAGAGAATTCCGACTCAATGTCATGCTGATGGTTTTACAAATGTGAAAATAGAAAAAAAAAATAACGCCATGATATAAATAATGATTCCAGGACAAAATGTCCATCATCCGCCTTGTTAATAACCAACCTCACGAATACGATACTCCTTAAAGTTCGGTTTTAAATTATTTGATATACCCTAAGAAAATAATGATATTTTTTTTGACCAAATTTTTTTTCCAATATCTAAGATTGAATATGTCGTATAGGGGATTCTGAATCTCTTGATTATAAATCCTTTACCGAGGGCGATTAAAAAAAATTTTGTCTAGCATATGTAAGAGTAATTTACCCTAAAAATTTCAGCCAATTTCAAGCCATAGATATTTTAGTATTTTTTTTTAAAATTTTTTTATGAAAAATCCATATAAAAATTAATACGAATTTAGAAGTAGTTTCTAAATGTTCTTGGCAAAATTGGTTGAAATTTATAAGGTAAAATACTCTACGCATGCTTAGAGTCCATTTCCGATTAAATCGGATCATGCTTAGAATCCATTTCCGGTTAAATCGGATTTTAAATTTTTTTTAAAGGATTTATTTCTTCCCCATACGACATATATACCCTAATTTATGTGATGACTGCTGTCATTCAAGGTACAGGCAATATGAACGATCACGTGGACAACAACCAATCAAATCGTATTATAATAGTTTATATTTATATTTTATGAGCAAATGAATTCAAAATTATGAACGATTTGCCAAAAAAAAACCCTAAACTTTTGAAGGAACTCCTTCCCCCCCCCCCCCTCATCCTCCTTCTTCGGAAACTCTAAGGATATCGACGCTTACCTTTTCTATGATCAGGAGCCAAAATTTTAAGCTCCATATGTGGTATTCGACGCCGGGATGGCCTAGTAGGTTTATGAAGTGTGCTTGGAAGCCCGAAATTCCCAGGTTCGATCCTGATAAGGAACTGTTAAAACTTTTCAGGTTTTTCTTCGATGACTGATGTGGAAAGACATATGATGAGATGAATATCTGAGCTTAGAATACCCCGGTCACCGACAGGCTTGGGACAGCCGGGGTGCTAGGATACTTGTCCAATAAAACCGAATGAAAGATACACATATATTTTATGGTTACTCATTTTATTCTCCCATAAAAAAAATTTCCGTTATGCCCGCTATTTTCCAGTTAACGAGAGTGACGTTGCTTAAAATCTCGTTTTCAATCTTCTATAAATAATAATAATATTAATGCCGCCGGACCAAAGTAAGCGATAGAAAATTTTTTTGTGGGCTCCAATAACACACGTGGAAAACATCGCTTTTAGGAAAGATGATCCCTTTGTAGTGTTGTTAAACTGATCGTTCGTGAGCCGATTGCAAGCTCAATATTTTAGCCAGAAAAATATTGTTCAAGTTCTCGAGAATTAGTTTGATAGATGTCTAGACCTTGGTGCGCCCTTGATGAGCAAAATCTTCAGGCTTGCGTAATATTATTGTAGATAAAATATCGAGTTTGGCCGGTTTTTAAAAACCAGCCCAATCGGCCTTTTAAAACAACACTTAATCCTTTGTTTATTAATTAATATATACATTATGGCTCAAAATTATAATCTTTGAGAAAACATTTAAAAAATGATATGGACTATAAGATGAAATGATAGTATAAAATGAGTAAGAATCGTTTTGGACATCTGTTCTTGAATAGGAGAAAAAGTGTAAGATAATTGATATGGATCAACAATATTTAGAAAAGAATGGAAAGGGGGGGGGGTGTGGCTGGTTATAATCACTTCTAGGTTAAATAACGTCATTTGACCAACTCAAGAGTGATTAGCTAAACTTTTAGCCCTAAAAAATGGACTTTTAATGTGACAAATTTCTTTTTAAAGTTTAAAAAAAAATGGAATCTTTGATATTAAAAACAAAATTATAAGGATATTTGATAAATAAACTATTTAAATCTATAAAGGTTCACTTTCGCTTTTCTTTTTAAGAAATCCTCAAGTCTAAATGAAAAATGGATACCTCAATGGTCGGGTGATGTCAGGGGTTATCACCCTGTTCCCCTAACATTTGTAACGTTGGACCTGTCCTGTCCTGTCAGTGATTTTCTGGAAAAATAGAAAGCTTATAAATTTAGATTCTTCTAAAGAAGAAAATTCCAGTTAAGAACTATACGAAATTTTCCCGAGTTTGAGGGTTTTGGCCTTAGTTAGGGTCCTTATAGATCTCTAAGATTTTATTTATTAAAATATAAATAATAAAACTATTCAGATAAGCATTATGATTTGCCTTCCTCCATTAACAATACCACTCCAAATCCCACATCGAAGTTGAAATCCAGTAAGTTTTTTCGATCTGAGATAACGATCTTTGATCCGAATAACTTCACAAACATCTCGTTGTCTTCAGGTGGAGGCCATGTTTTCAAGGAAGAAATCACCCGTGACGATAGTGGATCTTCGCCAGCGACCTTGTCGACCGATGTTGATAAGAGTTTTAAGTACTCCGAGATCTTCTTACCGCCCATTCCCACTATGGAGTCCTTCATCCAAGAAGAGAACGTGGAGAGGGACGGTATACTCATACTTCCTAATCCTATTTTCGTGGGAAATGGTGCCAAATCTATCTCGCCCACTAAGGTTGAAATCACGTTGATCAGTGATAGCGGAGGGACTATAGATGACAAAGAAGCTAATCTGACAGGCACAGCAATCGTTCATTTGTCCGATCGTGATAATATTTCAAAACGTTCAGGTGAGGTTAATACTTCGCGGCTAAGGATGTCCAATAGCGAGTTCAAAAATTCCTCTTCACCACCCGGCACTACCGGTTACATAGGCGAAGGTACTATTAAGAAGAATTACGATGATTCCTCACAAAATTTGCTTAGAAATTTTCCGCGCCAAAATAACCACGCAGAGAGTTACGCGGATTATGGGCATAACCAGGGTTACGGATATTACGAAGATTCCAACCATTTGGGCAAGTTCATCGACTCCGAGTCTCTCATAAGCGCAGTTTCTGGATTCCAACTTTACAGGTATTTAGATCCTAATCTCAACGCACCCCCACCTAACAACGACAACAACAACAATAACAATAACGAAAGAGTCGGGAAGGAGATGAGCTCTTCCAGCTATCATCCTCCGGACAATTTCGAAAAGAATGCCAGTAAAAGCGGTATGGGTTATAGCGGTATGGGTTATAGCGGTATGCCTTACCCTGTATCTTCCTCCGCTCTTTCCTCGCTGTTATCCTACGTAAAATTTTACGATGCCCAAAATCCCGATAAAGTAAATATAAGATCCAACAGTATCGAGAGAGACTTTAATGACGAATCGAGCCATCCCTATGACGATATCAATTTAATATCTCCCGCAACCAACCACGTCAACACGATCGCGAATCTTATAAAGAGCAAAACGCCCCAGGTGGCGGCTAACCGAAATTACACTGTCCTAACAAACGGTTCTAGAAATTTGGAAGATCGCGATTACGCAGATGGGTACGAAGATGTGATCAACTCTTCCGCCACCACTAAAAAATCTAAGGAAAAACGAAATTCTAACCCTTACATTTCTTTGGGTATTCCACCCATGAGCGCCGGAATATTTGCTAAGCACAAGCTGCTGTTGGAATCTTCGAAAAATCTGATCATAAAACAGCAAATAAATTCGCAGGAATCGAAAGAGCCGGTTGAATTTAAAATGGAAGATAAGGACTCATCCTCTAAGCCTGATTCTCAACAAGCAGGATTTATTGAGAGAGACGACAATTTACCACCTTCCAGCTCCTCGAACAGTAACAACTCCAGCAGTTGGAATGATACTGTCAAGTATAATTTATTGGATACCATGACTCCCATGATTCAGAATGATTTTCTGAGTAAAAAAAATTCTTCTACAACCATCACCCTTCCACATTATACCATCATCATTAACGCATCGAGAAGCAATGAAAAACCTGAAACCCTCAAGGGTCCCAAGTCAATATCCATCAAAACATTAGAAGAACAGGATTATATCAAATTTGAACAGCCGGGTCTGGATAGAAGCATTTCGGCAAAGGGCGACTCAGATGCTCGGTTTGCTTCAACCTCTTCCCCGAAGATAGTCACCAAATATGCTCCCAATCTAGCAACGCCGAACACGTCTAGCGAATCGATAAATAATTCCTCCACCATGAGTAACGATCATTCATCATCCTCAGAGCATTCCATTCAGAAAAAGATCTCGATCGAAGAGAAGGAAGCCGAGATTGTCAAGGGTCGGCCACCACAATCGACCAAAAAAGAAGGCAACGTGTGCCTAACACCCCAATGCGTTGAAATAGGTATATTATTCTTATGAATTTTAGAATTTTTGGGATATTAAGAAGAAATATATATACATAAACAATCAGAAAGTGAGTAGGGACTGGGACAGGGCCATTTATCATAAATAAGAAATGATCCACAATCAATCAATCAAATGAATTGATAAATTCCTTTTTTTTTAAATAAAAGCGGCCTCCCTTCTTTCTTCTATGGACGCGACGCTGGACCCCTGCGATAATTTTTACGAATACGCTTGCGGTAAATGGGATAGGGAACACGTGATCCCGGAAGGGGAGTCTAAAATTAATCCCTTCACAGAACTCACTCACAATTTAAACGTCAAAATTAAGGGTAATAATATAAATATTTCTTAGGATTTCCTGACTCTAAGGAAAAAGTCAAGTAACCATAATCGTTATTTGAAGATATTCTATTAGAAAATAGATTACATTTGCAACTAAAAAATACATTTTTTGAAATAGGTATTTTGGAGGAGCCCATCAAAGTCAATCAAGATAGAATCGCCGTTGTCAGAGCGAAGACTTTCTACGAATCGTGTATCAACGAAAGTACGAATTATTTTTTTTTTTGTCTCATCTGCCATATACGCATTTTACGTAATGGTTCCTTCATATATGAAGTTTCTCAGGAAACTAGAATTTGGGACAAGAAAGTATATTACCTAGGGTCTGGTTCACTTCTCTTTGCGTTTAAAACGCTTTCAAATGTTGTTGATAATTTTATCCTATCTTTTTTTTTAGCAATGAAAGCGTTTACGTTTATACGCGCGGTTAAAATATGCGGGAAAGGGATCTCTAATAATAATGGCAAATTTTATTTTTTCGGAGCAAGGTTTCATAGAAAGCGCTAGGGTAGAACCGTTGTTAGAATTCCTGAATATGTTGGGAGGATGGGCGATGCTGAACAGCAAAAATTGGAATGAACAATCCTTCGATCCCATACAAACGATAGCCAGGCTCCGGAGGTACAGGATTAATGTGCTGATCCAAGAAGGACTCAATCCGGACAAGAGAAATTCCTCCATCTATATTGTCGAAGTAAATTTTTGTTTTATAATTATACACTTTATGGAATACATGATGTAATTCTTCTCTTCTCTTCTCTTCTCTTCTCTTCTCTTCTCTTCTCTTCTCTTCTCTTCTCTTCTCTTCTCTTCTCTTCTCTTCTCTTCTCTTCTCTTCTCTTCTCTTCTCTTCTCTTCTCTTCTCTTCTCTTCTCTTCTCTTCTCTTCTCAAAGAAAGAAAGAATGAAAGAAAATCCGGAGATTACAGTATTGATTGATTATTTTTCAAAACCGGCCCGGCCTGAATTTTTTTTAAAGAATATTAGGCCCGAACCGGTCCTAGTCTGTTCCGGCCAGGTACGGGTCGGGTCTACTTTTGCAAATCTCTGTAACAGACACTAAGGCGAGTTTTAGGATTTTAGAGTTTAATTTTATTAGATTTGATTCTTAGGAAGGAAGGAAGGAAGGAAGGAAGGAAGGAAGGAAGGAAGGAAGGAAGGAAGGAAGGAAGGAAGGAAGGAAGGAAGGAAGGAAGGAAGGAAGGAAGGAAGGAAGAAAATGTGATAGCAAAAAAATTTTTAATTATAAAATTTTTTTAAAAAAGATAGATCAACCCAAGTTCAAATTTCAAAGGGAACGTTACATGAATTCCATGGAAGACGAGGTCATGAAAAGTTACCTGGCATTTATGGTGGAAGTGGCGGAATATTTGGGAGCTGATCGGGCGGACGCCGAGATCCATATGAGACAGACGTTGGAATTCGAAATCCACCTTGCTAATGTATTAGCGCAAATTATAAATAATTTTATTTGATTTTTTTTAATGTACATTTCCCAAATTTAAAATACAATTTGCTATGCCCTTTTGAAAAATATATATTTAATTCCTGCATATTTCGCGGAATTAAAAAAAAAAAAATTTTCCCCCCTCTGAAGGCCTTTCAATAATGTCGTTTATTAAGATGAACTCATAAATTCCTTGTTGCTTCTGTTATCGATTATAACGGGATCGATTAAATGTTCAGATTCGAATATCGGTTCAGATACCGGTTCCTATAAAAACGGTTATTCAGGTTCGATTCGTAAAAAATAACAATGTCCGTTCGGTTTGAAACCCGGTCTCAAACTTCGCTTTGACCTTTTAAAATCCGGGTTCGATTATTGATTCGGTTTATAAACGTTTCCGGTTCCAATCTTTCATTTTTTAAAATTTTAAATATTTTCAACTATTCTATTTTGACAAATTATATTCATAAGGGGACAGAAAAAAATAAATTCTATAAGTTGGGAACTTCTAAGCGATAATTTGGGTAACTGGCACTTTAAAATTTATATCAATCAAGCATTATTCTCTAAGTTTTATTTTGAAAATGACGTGAGACTTTTGCACAGAAAGGACTGATTTAAATTACTATCCGTTTAAAATTAATTTCATTTTATTATTTAATTCTATCATTTATAAGATTATATTAGAGAATATAGAAAAAAATTAGCCGTTAATTATAAACTACAGCAACCCAGGAAGTTAGTTATCCTATGTACCATGCTAACTATGTCCAATATGCCCTGTTTTCTTTCACTCGAAAATTTGAAAATTTTTAAAGAAGTGTGTACTATACATCATCATCATTATTATAGCTAACAAATAGAATCATTTCGTAGAGACTTTTTAATATTTAAAAAATTTTTATGAGAATTTTTACAAAATAGGGTCGTATGTGGCCAGGGTCTCCCCTAAATTCGCTATATTACAAAAATGGGAGCTCCCTTGAAACATAGAAAATTGTAGCCTAGCGGAGATATTTCTAATCAAAATTAATAGCGGAACAGTTATCCGACCCTGCGCAAAGGCGGCGGCGTGAAATAATAACGGATCATATCAAGTCAATCATTTATATATTTTTTTAAATTTATAATATAGATAAGCTTACCTACAAGGGCGAGGCATCTAGTGTCAAACTATTACACCAAGATGAACGTCGGAGAATTGATAAAAGAAATCCCGGAAGTAATTAAGTGAACGAACGAATAAATTAATGAATGAGTGAGTGAATAAAATGGCAACTTCCCTTTCCCTGTAATATTTTTTTATGAAAATTAATTTAAAAAAAAATTCTATTATTTAAAATTAACTTAGCCCAAAAATATTAGAAAAGTGATATTCACCATATCCCTGTCAATCATTATGTTATAGCAATTATGATACGCGTTCGTAGAGACCCTCATAATCTTCTACACGCTAACCCCTCCGATTTAAGAAGGAGAGACAATGTAGATTTAACCTCCCTCCTGCCTCTCTACCGATATAATAACCGCGCGTTAAATATACACCCCCCCCCCTCCCAACCTCCAAATTCATAATAAAATAATAAGACTAAAAATTTTCGCTTTTAAACGTCAATCAAATTAAAAAACACAGATTTAAAAAGATTTGCGATTGCTTCTTTTTTTTAAAAAAAAAATAATTTTATTTTACAAAAGTGACCGAATAAAAAAGAAAATTCAATATACTTTGATTGACCGGTCGACATTATATAAAATGAAAAAGAGTGACAACTCAATTTCAAAACCGAAAAGGTAGTGAGAGAAATGAAACATTACAAATTAAATCATCACCGAGATTATGATTCTAGTTTTTCCTATATGATATATTAATAAAACAGATAAATTGGCTCAAGTACTTCAAGCATTTGATGCCCGAACTGAAGGAAGATGACTTGGTGGGAGTTCTCTCCTTGGAATACATGAGAAAGTTGGGAAAGTTATTGACCGTAACTCCCAAAAGGTTGGGTCTTTTTTTTTTACGTACAAAACTAAAACTCAGCCTACGTAGACAAAAATTATTATTATTGCTTGATTTTTATAGGGATCCAGAAAGATCTTTACTCATTTTAAAAAGTTCCAACCAAACTCTGTAAGATAGCTAATTGATCAATCTAATTTGAGGCCCATATTCGTATTCAACTGACTCGACATGGTTGGGAGGGGGGGGGGGGTGGGTGAATGTTAGTAAAAAAAATTTTTGTCCCCTTTTGTCATTCCGAAAGAATCACCGTTTTTCTAGAGAGGTTAAGTCTCTAGAGGTTAGTGAAAATCACCTAAATAGGTTGGTGTTAGAGGAAGGGGATATTAAGATTCCGAATAAACTGCTGTCGAGGAAACTCTCGGAGAATGAATGGGATTGACATAAGGAAATGAGGTTTTTTCTTCTTTTTCTTTCTTTCTTTCTTTCTTTTTCTTTCTTTCTTTCTTTCTTTCTTTCTTTCTTTCTTTCTTTCTTTCTTTCTTTCTTTCTTTCTTTCTTTCTTTCTTTATTTCTTTCTTTCTTTCTTTCTTTCACTCATATAAACAACACGTATATTTGCAAAAAAGTAAAGTGTTAAAAACTATGTTTTTTCTTTTCTTGGGGAGAGGGGGTGGGGCAAATGATACAAAAAATCTTTTTGGCTATACGGTAATCTCTCCTCGCATTGGTTCGAATTTTTTATTTTTCCCGCCAATTTATTTTAAAAAAATATTTATATTTTCCCTAAAGGGTAGTTTCCAATTTTATCATGTGGAAAACGGTGCATCATTTGTTGCAATACACCAACCGGGACTTGGTGGATATGGAAAAAGCTTTTAACAAGGTAATGCCTTATGTATGTGTCTATATGTATATATCAGAGTTGTTAAAGGATCTAGATACAAGTATCTAGATCCTGTATCTAGATCCTGTATCTAGATATAAAAATGTGGTATCTGTATCTGTATCTAGATAGATTTTTGATTAAAATATCGGTATCTAGATATTATTTTAGACGATGTATCTGTATCTAGATCCATTTAAAAAGTATCTGTTAACAACTCTGATATAGGTAATAACAAATAAATAATAACCCCGTTAGAACCCCCCCCCCCCCCGATCCATAGGACAGAATTCATTTTTTTGGTCCCTGTTAACCCTGCACTCACGGTTTAGCGCGAATTGGCGGGGTTGCTGCGACATCGGGCTAACTGTGAATGGAAGGTAATCCGGCCAGATCCAAAATTTGGGAAAAGTGGGTAAATTATCAAAGCTTTGAGTAAAAATACGATATTTTTTTAGTTTCTCCTTTAAAATAGATGAGAAATTAGAGCGGAGTTACAAAAAATGAAGGAAGGAAGGAAGGAAGAAAGAAAGAAAGAGAGAAAGAGAGAAAGAAGAGAAGAGAGAGAAAGAAAGAGAAGAAGAGAAAATACAAAATGGATAAAAAAATATAATAATTCTTATTATTTTTTTCCCGCGCAAAAAGCTCGTCAGCACGGGATCCTTAAAGTCCAGGTGGAAGATATGCGTTTACAATACTCTGAAATTTTTCCCGCTCATTAACGGCCATCTTTTCGTGAAACGATACTTCGACAAGGAAACCAAGGAATCGGTTTACATAATATTATTATTATTAATCATCTGCTGGCGACATAATACAGAAAATAAATTTTATATAATTCGCAAAGTTTAGAAAAATGATAAGAGGGGAAAAATAATTATAACAATGTCATAACCGGATACGGGATCTTGAGTAATAAAATCTTTTAATTTACGTCACGTTTAATGAAAAGCCATTTTTTTCAAATTCGGAATTTTTTTTTTTAATTTGAACCGGAAATGTGTATTCCAGCTATGTTAAGGGTTACCCTCACTGTGTATTTCCTACAAATTTTACTTTCTTTCCTTTCCTTCCTTCCTTCCTTCCTTCCTTCCTTCCTTCCTTCCTTCCTTCCTTCCTTCCTTCCTTCCTTCCTTCCTTCCTTCCTTCCTTCCTTCCTTCCTTCCTTCCTTCCTTCCTTCCTTCCTTCCTTCCTTCCTTCCTTCCTTCCTTCCTTCCTTCCTTCCTTCCTTCCTTCCTTCCTTCCTTCCTTCCTTCCTTCCTTCCTTTCCTTTCTTCCTTCCTTACTTCCTATAACACATTGCCGGAAAAAAAACTCATTGACGTTAACATATATCCGAGCCGGACTCGAAAATATTAAAAAAAAAATTTTGAATAATAATTCGGGGCTTAAAAAATTTTTTTTTTTTTAATTTGAACCCAAAATGTGTATTCCGAAAAGCTATGTTGAGGTTACCCTCACTGTGTATTTCCTACAAATTTTTACTTCTTTTTCTTCCTTCCTTCCTTCCTTCCTATATTTTATTATCCCTAAGATTTACAACATTTCGAAAGAAATCAAGGACGTGTTCAACGAGCGTTTACCTCAAATCGAATGGATGGATAATCAAACCAGGATAGTGGCACAAAAAAAGGTTTATTTCAATTTTAGAATTCGGCCAAACCCATTTTATTTATTTTTTCCATGGGCGCGGCCCTAAGGGTTTTTAACGGTCGATTTCTGATTGACAGGAGCTTGTATTCTGCGATATCGAAGATAGTATCCGGTTCATTACTAATTAAGCGAGTAATCGACCGCCAGATGATGCCAACGGCTATAGGTCTGGTCTTATAAACTTGGTCCCATAGATTATCTTGGAAAATATCTGAGGAAATGTCCCTCTAAAAGCATACGCTTGATGAGCTAGCTGGGTTATCTTTGAAAGGGTATCGGTCAGTTGAGCCATAGCAGGAATATCCAGGTCCTGAAGAAATATAGGAAGGATTCCGTCAATTCCAGGGAGAAAAATCATTTCTAAAAGATGGATCGTCCTAACATCTGTGGTAGTAAATGTTAAAAGTACAAATGATATAAATTCAGAATAAATTTGAATTATCGGTATCTGTGTTATTCGATTCGGTGTTTTTAAGGAAGTGCCAAATATATAATCATTATCCTAAGGGGGCCAGATTTCGACTCTAACAGCTACATCAGTTTCCTGTTCTCTGTTGACGGATAAGAATTGATTATTAATTTACTCAATTATATAGAATAATAAATACATTGTAAGAAACAAAGAGGATATAATTAATCAATGACGCATAATAATACCTAGACTGACGATGCGTTCATTAGAAGTGTATAGGTCAATGAAAAACAGCTGGGGACGCCATTTTGGTAACCCGTATCATTATTTAAAATTTTTAAGCGAGATGCCAATCTAATTCCTTATGTCTGACGCAATCTTTACCAAAGAATTGCCTGATCATATGGGTTACCAAAATGGCGGATCCAGCTGATTTACATTCTAAGTCACTTTCAAAACGCACTTATTATGAATTTCTTTCTTTCTTTCTTTCTTTCTTTCTTTCTTTTTTCTTTCTTTCTTTCTTTCTTTCTTTCTTTCTTTCTTTCTTTCTTTCTTTCTTTCTTTCTTTCTTTCTTTCTTTCTTTCTTTGTAATCGACAGTCTAGGTATTATTATTATTATGTCATTGGGACTAATATTATTTATTTTTAAAAAAATTTTTTAAATTCTTTAGGCAGATTTCATCATAAAGAAAATAGCTTACCCGGCATTGCTTTCGGATTTGGATTATTTGGATAATATAAATCGGAGGGTAATATATATAGTATATAATAAGCGAATGAATGTTACGCATAAATGATGAATCACCAAGGAATGTAAGAATAGATAAATGAACGAATGAATTGTCATGATTACAGGTTAATATCAGCAAGGAAACGTATTTCGGCAACATACTAAAACTGGAACAAGAGGCGAGCCAAATGGATCACACTTACTTCCGGAAATACGTCAATAGAACCGAGTATAAATTATATTTATCGTGATATACGGCCCGAAGTCCGGCCCGGCCCGGTCCTGTCCGGATACACGGGAAATCGCCATTTTTTTTAGAAAAAAACGGGGCCGGGTTGGTCCGGGCTTGAACATATAAACCCAAGCCCGGACTTGACCGGGTCGTGCTGTACTGTGTAAAATGGTACCTCTACAGGTCTCCGAACTTTGTATCTAATTATATCCTGTCAATCCTATTTAAGTATCTCAAGACATATTTTTTTTCTAACTATGTAAGGTGCGCGTGCTTAATGCCCAATTTAAGGATTCTATTGGTAAAATTCAAATTTTATGAACTAAATTTTTTTCCCCTTCTTTCTTATATTAAGATCGCTTTCGAAATTAAGCGTAATTACAGGTAAAGGGACGTGAATCCGAACAGGGGTTCAGGAAATTTAAAATTGTTTGGTTGGCCATTTTGAAACCACAGAACGGACCAGAGACCGATTTAAGGATGATACCATATATCCGGGGTAAAATGGACCTGGGGCAGGTTCGGACGCCACTTAGGGAAAATCGGTTTAGATTAAGTTTCCTGTCATCAAAATTTCCATTAAATGAAATTTGAAAAAATTCTTGAATCCCTGATTATAGGTATATAAAATTATAAGCTTAAGACCCTAAGATAAAACATAAACTTCATTATATGCCATATCATTAATGCTTCGTTCTTTCTTTCTTTCTTTCTTTCTTTCTTTCTTTCTTTCTTTCTTTCTTTCTTTCTTTCTTTCTTTCTTTCTTTCTTTCTTTTTTCTTTCTTTCTTTCTTTCTTTCTTTCTTTCTTTCTTTCTTTCTTTCTTTCTTTCTTTCTTTCTTTCTTGAAATCATTTTAAAACTTAATCATTATTCAATGTAATTTTTTCAAAGATGGAGGGACACCATCTTGGAAGTCAATGCTTACTACCACTGGAACAAAAACTACATAAGTATTATTTTATTTTTTTTCCATTTATTTTTATCTATTTCTTACCAATCAAGACGAAAAATCTCTTATTTTTTTGTTTTTGAAATTCAAAATATTTTTTTTTCGTGTGTCCTAAATCCCCCTATTTGCCTTATAAATTTTAAGATTAATATATGTTAGCGGCTAATGTGTTTATTTTCCCGACTAATGTGTTTTTGTGTTTTTTTTCCGGCAAATGTGTTTTTTTCCGGCAATAAATGATTTTTTGAACGCGTTTTTTTATAAAAAAAAAAAAAATTTAAAAATTTTAATTTTAACCGAAAATTGTATTTTTGGCATGTTTATACCTTATATAAGGAATGTGTAGAATAATTTTTAACCGTTATCCTTTCGAGAAAAGAAAGAAAGAGAGAAAGAAAGAAAGAAAGAAAGAAAGAAAGAAAGAAAGAAAGAAAGAAAGAAAGAAAGAAAGAAAGAAAGAAAGAAAGAAAGAAAGAAAGAAAGAAAATATATATGAAAAATCTGTGGGAAAAAAATAATTAATGTGAATTCTATAGAGTTTCAAAAAGTTTCATGGCTAAAATTGTCAGGAATTCATAAGGGTTGAGATTTTCCAAACATAACGGAATACATTTCCGGTTAAATCAGATTTTTAAATTTAAAAAAAAACGCGGTCAAAAAAAAAAAACGATTTGAAAGAGTTGAAAAAATAACGCGCGCATTGCCGCAAACCAGTGACATATGATAATACCTGGACTGACGATGCATTCATAATAATCAATGCAAATCAGCTGGACCCGCCATTTTTTGGTAACCCATATGGTAATTATTCTCATGTATAAAAAAAACTGCTATTTAAATTGAAAACCTGCTTCCTTAATTATCTCGGATGCCTTCGTTAAAAATTTTTTTAATAATTATATGGGTAGCCAAAATGGCTTCCGCAGCTGTTTTTCATTCGATGTACGCTTTTAACGAATGCGTCGTCAGTCTATGTATCATTATATGGATAGAAATATGATGAAATGATACACCCTTTAGATACATAGTTTTTCCAGTCCGATTTTTGATTAAGATGGCGACTACGCGACATATCAGTTTTAATATCCCAGTGCTAATTAAAGATTTAATGTCAATAATAGTTTTTTCTTGAAAGAGAGAAATACCTATTTATTTGATTTTTTTTAAATAAAATTTAAATATTATTTTAAATAAATCGTATTTTGTATTTTCAGTGATACCAGCTGGCATTCTTCAGACGCCATTTTATAAAAATGGATACCCTAAGTAAAATAATTTAGTAATTGTTTTTTATTCACTTTTTTTTATTAATTTGAAAAGAAGCGGAAGTGGAAGGAAGGAAGGAAGGAAAAGAGGAAAGAGGGATAGAAGGAAAAAAGTAATAAAATAAAAATAAATGTCATTTAATTTTTTTTTTCTTTCTAAAATATATTTTTATAGATCAGTGAATTATGGAAGAATAGGTTTCATCATAGGCCACGAAACTACGCACGCATTCGACTCATCTGGTTTTTTTTATTTATATAGGGGATCTTAAAAAAAACTTGTTTTTTATTTAAAAAAACTTGTTTTTTTTATTTAAAAAAACTTGTTTTTTTATTTAAAAAAACTTGTTTTTTATTTAAAAAAACTTGTTTTTTATTTAAAAAAACTTGTTTAAATTAAACTAAATCTGTTTTTTTTTTGAAATACTATAAATCTTCAAATGTGGCTTTAACTATTTAGAAATCCGAATTTGGTGTTATGGACAAATGACATTCAAATACCAAACTAGAATTCGCGAATTTATTTTTTATTAAAAGTTGTACAAACATCGAAAATCAGCTGTTGATGATTTCATTAGCTATTTTAAAAAAAATAAAATATTTAATGAGCCATTCAGGTTTAAAAGAGTTTGGTCTCGAACAAAAAGAGAAATCGGTTTTCTTAACGGTGGTTTTTTATAGGTTCGCTCTCTTATTTGAGGTTTATATCGGTTCGGTCTATGGAAATGTCTGAACCGAACCGTCTACCTAATTACTCTCGACCATTCCGAAAATGTCTCATCATTTTTTATTTTCTGTAACAGGAAGTCAATACAACGAATTCGGTAATCAGAAGGAATGGTGGTCCAAGGAGATTACCAAAAATTTCCAGGAGAAGGCGTCTTGCATTATCGACCAATACGGAAATTACACCGTACCGGAAATTGACATTAAAGTTTTGTTTTTTTAAAAAAAATAATATAATTATATTCAAAAATTAACCGGAAACGCGAGGGTAAATTGAAAGGCAGGGGATTTTGTGGCGACACGATATTATTTTTTTTAAAATTTTTATTTTTATCTTTCTCGCTAGCTAAACGGGGTAGCTACCCAAAGCGAAAATATAGCGGATAACGGCGGAATCAAACAGGCCTACGCTGTAAGTTCGTATTATACTATTTCTTATAAATAATCACGTGAACTATTCTCTCCTTTAAACATTTCCTATAAGGTTTTCCATTTTTCTTTCAAAATGTCGAATTACGGTATATAAGATTTCTTCTTTTTTTGTCGTTGAAGTATTACAATTAGCGTTGTCCAACACTCGATTTGAGGCGATTTTTAAAAAACGCTAAACTCAATTTGAAGCGATTTTTAAAAACGCTAAACTCAATTTGAAGAGATATTTAAAAACGACCAACTCAATATTGTAAGCCGGGATAAATATTCCCTCGCGATTCGATCTAATAGATGTCCAAACCGTTTTGCCATCTATGAGCGGAAAATCTTCAGCCTTGTCGTAATAATTGTTCTGGATAAAATATTTGATAGGTCAGTTTTAAAAAAT